AGCTAGCAACATCCAGTACTGTATCAATTCTCCTTTTCATGCTGTTATTTTGAAAGACCTTGTCTCTCCCTTGTCATCTCTTATATCTTCAGACTTTCCCTTTCCATGTCTCTTTCTCACCCAAACTGGCACAAGTCCAAACCATTATAAAACAGACTGTATACATATTCCCTTTTGGAATCAAATCTCTTACCTTACTAATCCCATAAACCTCCAGACATCTTTGACAAACCATCTAAATTAGTCAGCTTTTTGTCACTATGATCAAAATACCTGATAAGAATGACCTAAAGGTGGAAAAGTTTATTTTGGCTTATGGTTTCAGTCCATGGTTGACTTGACTCCATTGCTTTTGGTGGCAGGAAAGGCAGAACTTCATGGCAGAGGGACGTGCTGGAGGAACGCTGCTAAGTTCAGGGCCACCAAGAAGCAGAGAGAGCAGGAGGAGAGAGGGAGAATTCCACCCCTCCAGTGATCAACTTCCTCAGCCATACCCACCTACCTACAGTTACCACCCAGTAATGTATTTGAATAAGAACTACTCCACCAAAAAGGTCCCAGCTCTGATAATCCAATCATCTCACTCTGAACATTTCTGCACTAATACATGAGCTTTGAGGTAACCTTAAAGAGCCCTCATGAGCTGTCTCAGTTTTTAGTCAGTTCCTAACCGTAATCTGATGGATGATGTCTTGTGTTCTTTAGTGGACTCCTGGGTACCTAACTTCATCAGGCATGCCCGGGGACAGCACTTGACACTTTTAACTGTTCCTTTTTTCTTGCAATATGGTCATTCATTGCATAACATCTGACAAAAACAGGCTGCTTATTTGACATTGGTTCCATGATATTATAATGGAACTGAAAAAATTCCTGTCATCTGGTAATTGTTGTAGCCAACATTACATCCAATTGCACCACATTCCTCAAGAGTTTGTGCTGAGACCACTGCAAATAAACCTACAGTGCTGCCACTTATAGAAAGACATATAATTAAGTACCTGTATGTCATAGACTTGATAATGATTTATTTATGACCTTGTTTCTAGTTCACATATTTACTATACTAATCATTATTTTAGAGTGTATTCATTTTGCTTATTTGAAAAAAAGTTTATTTTAAAACAAAAAGTATGCTGTGCTACACCAGCAGCAGACTCATATACTTTGCATTTATTACATCTCTTGATTGCATTATTTTCTCTTTTGCTTGATTTACTCTCATGTTGTTTTGCTTAGTATAAACCTAGGAGCAACTGGCTTTCCTGTGTGTGTGTGTGTGTGTTTATGTGACATAGGTATGTTCTGTATACATAACACAGTGATTCATATGTATGTGTGTATGTGGTTTGGATGAGCACACTCTATGATCTTCATCAAGGATGAAATCACTTACAGATGCATTTTCAAAACACTTGCCAGTTGTTAAAGGATTCATGGCTGCACTCTGTCCTCGGGCTTTGTGATACCACCCTCTCTTGGTTTCTTGCCTCACTGAAAAAACAAGCCATTCCTTCCCCCAGGCTAGCTACTCTTCCCTGACAACAGTTCCTACCCCCAAATGATATGTATTCATGGATGCTCCTGCACATCATTTCCCTTGTTATTCTAGGTAGAATCTTAAGGAACTCCATCTTCTTCCTTCTATGTACTGGTAATTCCAAAATCTGTATCTGTATCCCATTTACTTTTCAAATTATTAAAAATAACTTCCTCCTAGCAATTTCTCCCTAGACACCTTACAAGAACCTCATGTTCAATATGTCTAAAATCAAAATCATCATCTCTCATGATATCTGGAATCTGTTCCTTTTCCACTATTCCTTTTCTATATCTATACACAATTACTTAATATATGTGTCTACGTGCATATAAATAAATAGATAGACATGTGACCCTACCTTGAACCACACAAGGTGCCATATGTTGGCCCAGCCACATGCTTTTATACTGTTGGGATTCATAACCTAGTACACTCACCATCTATTCTATCAACTTGGTTACTTTTATTCACACTGTTGACCTCTTTTCACTTTACTCCATCTTTAGTAAATGGAAACAAAGTACATGTATATATTTTTGAAAGTGTATGAATAAATTTTTCTAATAAAGTAGCTTAAGTGTCATAGTAAACATTCTATTTTATGATAAAGCTGAAATTTTTAAATTCTGATAACTTATATTTTATATCCATACTTTTGATACATGTGTTGATTTGATTCCTGAGACTGACCTGTACAAAAGTATTATTAAATTAACATCTAATACTTGTTTTTACACAAACCAACCCACCAACAAACAAAAAACTTCAGGTTGCAAATTGAATCTATTTTGATTTCAAAATGGGTTACTGTCAATACTGTGTAGGCACTGGAAGGCTGCTTAAGTATTTCAAATTGCCTGGCACATGGTAATTTTAATATATTACCATTCTATCACAGTTATTATGAGATTATTATGATTTATAGAAAATAAAAAAGAAAGTGGAACTGAGTTATAAGCATGTGATCAATATACTTGCCTTTAAATGCTGGGTATTACATGGTAGCCATTCAAAGAGATTTAGGGAAAATGGCATGATTATACCTTTATCCCCATATTTCTTTTGTTCTCATCCTGGAATACCTTATTCTTCTTTTTGATAAGAAAGCTTTCAACATAACTTGTAGATAAAAATAAACTTCTAAAGTATCACAAATATGATGAAGCAACTGTGACCACTATTTGGGAGTTCCATTGGTTTTCCACTATTCCTTGAACTCAAAAAATTAACCTTTACAAATGAATTTCACCTCCTCTGACTCCTGCAGTCCAAGTAAAAGGGCAATATAAACAAAATAACAAAATATTATGTCTTCTGGATTACATATCTTTCATTCCCAAGGGAATGCAGAGCATACATTAAGTACTAAATAAAAGGTATCAAATTGAATAATTCTGATTCAGATCTGCTAACATTTTAATAGAAACCTGTTTACCACCAGCCAAATCCTTCACAGACTAAATACAGTAGAAAGTGCCTTGGTAAATGTAACCTGATAAGTAATAAGTGATAATAAGTACAACCAATTCAACTGTCATGTTGATACTTATCTATTTATTTAAGAACATAAGCTCTGTGAGCTTGGATACCAAGTCCTTATTTTTGATCTTTCTTTTTCTTTTTTCTTTCCACAGAAGTAGCAGGAGTCAAGCATCAACACTACCTGCACATAATATGACTTCTTTATTTCTGAACATATAATTAAAAGTACTGTGACAGTACCATGAAATCATAATCTGGTACCCAAATAAGAGAATCTAAAATGTCATTAACCACCATAACCCTAGAAAAAAATAAGAGAAAATGCAAAATCCTAATTATACCTGTAAGTATAAAAAAAAAAAATCCTCATTCTGACATAACTATCTAACCACAATAAGCTTGCTGCCCAAAGCCGCTGATATCTTGCCATGAAGTTGAAGGAAAACAGACTCCAATAACTGCTGGAAGTCATTATTCTTGTCCAGCAAGAAAAAATCAACAGATGGAAGGCTGATTTAGCCCTATCTTATATTATTATAATTATTATTATTATATAGATTTTACAGATTATCTGGCATAATTATAGAGCTAAACTTTCCAAATCAGTGTAATTAAAGGATTTTAATGCAAATGACACAAAACTAAAAAAAAAAAAAATCTACCCCAAACTTACTAATATCCTACCTGCATTTTTCAAGTCTTCATTATCTCAAAAAAATTAGCACCTTCATTCATACAAATGCTCATGGGGAAAACTTGGGACTCTTAACACTGATCTAACATAGCCCCAGGTTCCAACACCTCTTCTTTCATAATACATCCAATAGCTCCTCAACACCATCCTTTGCCTGGCCTCTGCAGCAACATCCTAACTTGTCACAAAGTCTCATTCCTCTAGAGTCAAATAGAGTAAAACATAAATGAGACATTATAAACATAAATGAGACATTCCATTCCTGGCTCTCAGAATAAGCAGCTTCCCATATACTTAAAACATTCAAATCTTCACACATGACCTTACAGCCAAGTACCACCTTGCCAGGGGATATCTCTGAAATTGTTTCTTCCCATTCTCTCACTCATCTAAACCTGAACCTTGCCAGTTAGACCAGCTTCTTGGCAGACCGTGGTCATGCCTAGCACAACACTCTCTTAGGATCTTCAAATATTCTTCACCCTATGCCTGGAACAGTGTCTAGACTGCGGCATGATTTGTTTCTTCACTTTATTCAGGTGTCTCATCAAAGACACCTTCTCTTGTCACCCTAGCTACGGCTCCAGCAGACTCTTTACCTTGTCTCAAAAAAAAAAAAGAAAGAAAAAAAACCTGGAGCAGAGATTTATTTAGCAAAGCAAGGATTACACATTTGGCTTCCTTGAGAGTGAGAAGCCTTTATTTTTCTTCATAGAATTTACAACTTATAAACATAATAACAATTTTTTGGAGATGAATCTGCTCACACTGCTACTCCCTCCCAATGTACATGTCTTATGAGGGTGGAGGGTGGGGAACTTGCCTGTTTGTTCATCACTGTATCCCCCCCACTAATATCTATAATAGTTCTAAAGCACAGTAATTGCTTAATTAATAGTTCATGAATAACTGCAGAAATTCAGGAAATCATGTTTTACCTTTGCCTGACCCACAAAATATTATATTTTCATATACCTATACTGAAAACATATTTATAATTACCAAACTACTTTCCAAATACTTAAATGTAAATGACCCAGAGTAATCTAGGTCTATGGAAAACTATAATAGTTGATCATAATGAGTTTGTCATAAAAAATGCAAAAATATGTAACCTTCCTAGGTGTACTCTATAAAGAAGCTTCATATATATTTTACATGTATGATTCAGAAACTATCCCAAAAAGTTTTAAAATAATGGTCTCTCCCCAAGAGGATAACTATAATATCCCACTTCCCAAAATTTTTGAGATTAAGAGAAAAAGCAAAAAGAGCACTTACCTCCCTTTTTCTACCAAGAGTAAGACATCCAATTTTTCCCCATTTTGAACCATTGTGCTGATTGCTGGAGGGAAAAGAGAAAAGCATGCACACATTGTTTTAAATGTTACACAAAATACCCACAAAGACACAATTATTAATACTACTTAGTTTTAAGTTGGGAGTAAGCTATTACAACTTGATATAAAGCTGCTGTTATTGCATGCGATAAAGAATTGTGTTTGAAAGATAAGGGGGAAAAAACACACATCTTACTTAGCTCTTGCAGTCTTCTTAAGTGCATTCTATCTTCCTGAGCTTCTTGCATTTGGAGGCAAAAACGTAAACTAGATTTGTCCATAGCAAACCAGCCTTTCCTCCACTGATCCAGGGCATGGCAGTCTTTGTAGAAGAGTTGACCAATCAAATCATAGTCGGCTTCTGTTAAGTTTTCAGCAACAAAGGGAACAAAATGCTGTTAAAACAAATACAGAAAAGTAATAAAGACAGTGAAAATAGGAAATTCCCTATCTACAGTTGAGGGGAGTTGGAAAATTATTTTAACTTTTTCTATTTTAAAGATTCATAAGCAACCAAAAATTCAAAACAATTACTTAAACTTGCTATCAGTCTCAAAAACGAACAGCTAAAATGCATTTTCAAAAAGCATCTTAAGCTTTTTTTTTTTTTTGCTATACATAGAGTTGAAACAGGAAGACATTCTCTTGGTTGATTTGTGGCATTTTTCAAAATATCAACCTTCCATGTTTTTCCCCACTTCTATCTTTTACTGAATTTGTTCCTCTCCCTTTTGCATACATCATGAATAAAAATCTACCTATAAAAAAGACACACTGAAATGACTTTACAATATTAAAACTACCTTTGTTTTTTTTTTTAAATCATGGACTTAGCTTGTAAGAATGATTTCTCCAAGATCCTACATTAGTTACCTGTCTGTTTCAGGAGCGAAGAAGGTAGTTTTTTAACCTCTTTAGACTACAATCTTTGAAAACCTTACTAGGTATGGCCCTTCTTCCCAGTAACTTAAATAAAATTTTCACAGACCCCTAAAGCTCAACTACAGACTCCAAGTGAAGAGTGTTTTCTGGGGGAATATAATACTTCACTACCTTGGCTATGGTCTCTGTCCATTTTCTTTGAGCTTGAGATGTTTCAGCTCCAAATAAAAACACACGTTCTGAGGGCAAGTAGATCTCAAAGATAAATATAGGCCTAGAACAAGCAGGGATAAATAGATACCAGTTATGCTCGATTCCTATGAAAATAAATAACACAAATGTCAAGTTTTTAATTAGATTACTTTTTAAAGTGGAATAGTGCTGAGAAATCAACTTGCTTATATATCATATTATTCTATTGATGGTTTGTATTTTATTCAAATGAGCTAAACGCAACACATGGGATCAGACGAAAGGAATATGATTCTGATTAATCACTCAACAGCACGACTATGTTACGTTCAGGTGACAAACATGATGGAGGCCTTTCTTAGTCTCAGTTTCCCTCCAAGACTACTCTTTCCTAATTTACTTCAACCTAATGTTCAAAACAAACATTGCCCAACAGCATCTCATCTAACACCAACAATTCATCTTTTGTTGATAATATTATAGTAACACTCCATGTCCTAAATCCTTTCTTGACTCCTTCATTGACAGCTCCGAATCCTTCCTAGAACTTGCTAAAGTATGTACTAAAAGTCTTAATATCCTATATAGAAGTCATCTTCCTTCTTCTCCTCTTTTGCCCCAAACCTGTTGTATCGTCTTCATGTCCCAACATAAAGCCATCTCCATTGACCTCATCAGCAAGCTCAAATCCTTAAAATCTAACTCATTCGTCCCTTAACATCAACCCATTCCCATCAGTTCAACTGTAAGATGATTTCTCTCTTCCATTCACTCTTCTAGTTAAACACTTGGCAATTATGATCTTTCTTCCTATAGTCTTTTTCTTACCAATCTACCAGCTCTCTTTTAAAATACAAATGTGCAAAACTACCTAATGCCTTTATTTACTGCACTGAGTTCAAATTCTACAACAGACTATTTAAGGCAATTCAGAATCTGGCTGTAACAATTATTTTGTAACCCCATATCATTGCATATATATAAAATACTTGTACCAATAACATCTTATCAAAAATATCTTGTTTTTAATGTTTATATGTGGACATAATATCAATTCTTTTAAATTGTATCTGATTTGTTATTTATTAAGGTAGAGTACACTTATTGGAACATTCCATGGTAAGCCACATTAAATTGAATATTCATTTAGAATACAAGCACTATTAAGATCAGAACAAAAAAAAAATCAGTAATCAGTTTTGTTAACATCAAAATCAACTTAGGTTTACAAAAATGCTCTAGTCATTTCAACCACTACATATTGATCATTACATATTAATGACAACATAGACCAGAAAATTTCATGTAAATAACATACATTCGCAAGTTTTTTTCTCATAAAAATTTATTAAGGTATTATGCTCCTATAACATTGATTTATTTAGATTTAATATTTATATATTCTCAGTAATTACATTACAAAACAGAAACTTTCAAATTAAAGATCTTAGTCTATTTCTAAAAGTCCTCAAAGATTCACTTAAACTATTATGACTCAAATATATCACATAAATAGTACTTAATCTTTAACTGTACCTTTGTCAGACCTTGAAATGCCAAAGTAGAGCTTAAAGAAATTTAGCTTTGAATATGCCATTTAATGCAATTTGTATTGTGTTTAAGGCAAGCAAATAATCACCAAATATTCATTTTTTCTCATATTTAACCATAATACTCATTAAAATAATAACATAAATATTGCCATTAGTTCACTATATAAAGTAATGCATAAATCATAAAAGTTGAAGTACCACAATGATCATTAATAGAATGCCATAAATTTACTTAAGATTATCTCCAAATATATTAGTCTTTCATACTAGCTAGTATATTTTAACTCACTACTTTTAAGGGGATTCTCTAAAGAACTTTAAGACAGAAGATAGGCTTTAAGACACCCTTAAATCCTGTTACAGAAAACAACCAAAGAACAGAAGTAACAAAATCCTTATGACTTGGCATGATAATTGTCTGTAAATACCTCTTCCCTTCTAGCTGTTTAATAGTAGACCTACCCGGTATTTAAATAGAAGTCTTCCTTGTGAACAGCCAGGCAGATAACTTCATTGATGTTAATGGTCCCATTAGGTGTGGTAGACTTATCATTTTCATAATAACTCAAGAAGCCACCTTCCAAAACACACCACTTTTTATTTGTCTCTAATGATGTAAAACAAAATAAAAATAAATTGAGCTATACCATAATTTTTTTTTAAATTCATGGTTTTAAATCATGAACTGTATTCAAATAAAAAGAGATTAATTTCCTTTTTCAGGTAAGAGCATAATATGGCTGCAAAGAATATAAAGCTGTCACACTTTCTGCTTTCAAAAAATGTACACTCTAATAGCAAGGAATGTACCAGACAAAGATGACTATTGATAACCAGAGAAGCTGGCAGTGGCTGGTGTGGCTGCTGCAAATCAACTGTGAAACCACAAAGTCAGGTCTGTGGAGAGGATAAGGAGGAAAAGTGGCACAGAAAGTGATGGATTAGGTAGACACACAAAGGAAGAAGGGGTCAGAGACTGCAGTGTCCTTATGGTCTTGCTCACGAGATTCAAAATTCATCTTGTATAGAGTTAGCACACTGTGGCACGAAGGCCAGATCAGACTATCACCCACTTTTGTTAATCACGTTCTATTAGAACACAGACAGGTACAATCATTTATGGAGGGTTTGTAGCTACTTTGCCACCACCAGGGCAGACCTGACTTTGGGCAGAGACCGTCTGGCCCACAAAACCTAAATCTTACTCTCAGGCCCTTTTAAGAAAAGTCTGTTGATTCTTGACTGTGCAGATGTGGTGAGCCACTAACATGGTTTTAGCAGTGGAATATAATAAAAGATTTGAATTTAACACATTCTGCTTGCTCAAAAACATTGGATTAAGAAAGTGATGCCAGAGGTAAGGAGACAGTCTGGACACTGAAGTGCTGAGGATGGAACCACACGTGCTAGGTAAGCACTCCCAACACCCCCAAACCCCAGGATATAGCTGACAGAAGTTTTAAGTGAGGGGAGAGCCAAAAGGAGGTCAATGGTCATAGGGGTAAAGAGGAGAGTAAAGAGAGAAATGCCTACACGTGGATTTTGAGAAAATAAAACATACTGACTGGATACAGGAAATGCAGAGAACTTACTAAGGGCTGTTATCATTTTTAGCTGTGAACAAGCAATATTGTGATTGCCCACTTGTATTTTTTTTTAAAAAAGTGTGCATAGTAAGGGTATTTCCTTTTAGAAACACTGAAGGAGCTATACCTAATATGAAAATCCAGGCTGAAGTACCTATCAGACAGAGCAGCCTTGTATTTGCACCTTGCGGGTAAAAAAAGCACTTGGTAACTGTAAGTCTTTAGCATACAAGTGGTAGTTGGAAATATAAAGTAATAAAGTATAAAATCTTAGGGAACTTAAAATTATAAAGAACAGTGGACAGACAGGAGATCACCCTAACAATGAAATAGATGAGGAGAGAAAGGAAGGCATAGCAATATTATATCCAGCAAGGAAATCCAATGAACAAGGGCTGAGTAAAACAAAATGCTTGTCTCGAGAATAGGGAGGAAATTGCCTAATTTGCTGAGAGTGCTGTGGAAGTAGCTGTGAAGTGTATGGAAAAGTCTCCATGTAAAAAAAGGAGTGGTATCAGGACAGATCAATAACCTACATAATATAGAAAAACAAACAAACAAAGGCATGATACAGTAAGACAAATGAAGACAATCAAAAGTTGTTTACCTGGCTGAACCAAGAATGAGCACTTATTTCTCATAAACAGAAGGAAATAAAGAGAACTGGAAAGTACAGTTAGGTCTTGAGGTAGAAGAAACTAAAAGCACGTGACCCAAATAAACCATTTCTCCTTCAAAACTGGGCTTAGGCTCAACCTCTGCTGAGACTTTTCTCTAGCCTTCCATTTGTCTCCCTTCAGTGGCATATCTTCAGTGGCATCCTTAGTACTATGTGAACCCTTGGACAGTTGGGCTAGAAGTGGGTCTCTGTTACTGACTAGGAACCCTCAAAAAAGAACTTTGCCATTCTGTGAAAAGCATCCAACTCACAGGACAACTGTGATTATTAAATGATGCAGTGCATGTGAAGCACACAGGAGAGCAATCTGGTATGTGGCTGCTCAGGTGGCTAGTAGCACTTTCCGATGATGCAACAATTTTCATTTAATGTAATAATTTAAAATGCTACTTTCATATATGGCTGCAGCTTTTGAACAAAATAAAATTTAGATATATTTGTTCATGCAACAATGCTGTAAGCAACTTGAGAATAAGAACTGTGTTTTCTATTCTCAAAAATTACCATATTGCTTTGCCTAGGGGAAGTTTGTTAAAATTATTATTTTCATAAGTAAGGAAGTAAAGCTATTAGTTAAGGCAATAGCTCAGAAGAGGCTGCAAACTGAAAGAGAAGTATAAAGATAAGAAATATGTCAAAGAACCAACAAGAGGATTATAAATGCAATTACTTTCAAATATAGAAAGATAAATCTATGTATGCATCTCTATTCCCCCCACCACCTCAAGACAATGACACAAAAGTATACAAGCATAAACTCAAAAGGAGAGAGCACCACAGAGACCACAGTTCATAGGAAGAGAGAGAGAGAGAGAGAGAGAGAGAGAGAGAGAGAGAGAGACTCTGATCTTTCTGAGAGGCAAATGGTGATACATTCAAACATGCAAAAAGTCAACAAGAACTAAGTAATATTCTACAAAGTTCCAGAAAGGGTCAGAAAGGCTCATCCTCAGGAGGTGCAGGATAAGAGCTGAGGTAAGGTTTATAACAATGAGCAGTTAGGCATGTTTTTTCCTACTGTACTAAGCAACTAAGCACCCACCAGCAATGTTCATGAGAAGTTTGAGTCCTTCCCCTGGGGAAACCAGACCTGTCAGATTCTAAACTGGGGCTCCAGGGCTGCTTGCAGGGAGAGTAGGATGCAAGCCAGGAAACAGTGATTACATGAAGTCCTGCACACTAAAGAAACAGTGAGACCCCAATTATCTCCTCACATATAAACTGTTAGAACCAGGATTATCCAAGACTCCTACATCAACATTCTCATCAAGAGAATGGTGGAGTCTTCTAACTGAACCCAACCACTTAAAGAAAGCTTCCAGAAAGAATTCTCTCCTAGAGCCCACTGAAGGAGTGCAGCCAAGCCAATATGCTGATCTCAACCCAGCGGTATCGAATTTGAACCTCCAACTCCAGAACTTTGAGAGAATACATTTCTGCTGTTTTAGATCACCATGTTTGTGGCAAATTGTTACATCAGCCATAGTAAATTAATATGGCTGGGAAGGTATGAGAATTCATGGTTTTCTACATAAAGTTCACAGCATAGTGATGACTTCGTAATCAATAAATGTTATTATTATTGAAAATTTTTTTTCAAGAAAGCTTCCAACATGAAAGGCAAACTAAATACAGAAAAAATAATTTTTTAAACAATGATTAATATCATATAGCTAAGGGAAGAAACCTCATCTACACAAGAACAGCATGATTCAAAGAAAAGAATCGATAACAAAGAAATAATTCCTGATAACTAAAAACACAAAACATTTTTTAAATAAGAAAAAACTTATAAAAAGGGCTTTCCCCATAATTAAAACAAGAGACAAAAAAGAAGATAATATCAGGTCCAACATCTAACTACCATTACTGCTAAGAAAAGAAATGAGAGAACATTTATCAAAACAATGGAAAAGGTCTAAAAATGAAAAAGAAAAATTCATTTTCCATAAAATGATGTGCAGGTATTGCCTTGGTAAAATGAAAACAGATTTAAAACATTGGACCTAAAATCACCAAGTGGAGCATTACATGGAGATTTGGTTTGGAAAAAAAAAAAGCAAACAAAAAGACACCCAGACTTTGTGGCCTCCCTAATGATTCTCAGCCATCTCAAAGATTTGGAAGTAGAAGCTATGAAAATGGACAAAACAGAGTGGTCAATAATGTTACCATTAAGCTCAGATTGAAGAAAATTTCAAAATAAACAAGCAATCTGGTGGGGGGGCAGCAATTTTAGAAGGCTTCTAAAATCACAATGGGAATACATAAAGGTAGAAGACAGTTGATACAATAGACTTAAAAATGGTTCAAGGTTGATGTAGAAAAATATCAGAAAAGGAGAAAGAATCATACATAATAATAAAGCCCATGCATAAAATATGTGATTAAGGGATTGACATTATCTTAAATGTATTCTACATCACCTATAACGAGTATCATTTTGAAAAGTTCACTAAATTATTATTTACATGACCGTGATCAGATGCCACTAATAAAATAAACAATGATCCATGCACATGGAAAAAAAAAAGATGAAATAAATGGAGATTAGGCTAAAGACCCTTATTACCAACCATAGAAACAATAAAGGGACAACAAAGTGTTATAATTTAGTTCATTTAATTGACTTGACAATGGTAGTCAGCACTATTTCCTAAAGGCTGTGTATGCTTTATCTCGTTTAATTCTTAAAGTAACATTTTGGTTAGTTTCTAAAAAGATGCAATACTTCCATTCTACATAAGCAACTAAGGTAAGTCAGCAAGATGGGAAACAGGGGCCATTTTGGACATGAGTACATCAGGCTTGCTTTACCAGTACCGAATTTTGAAAATTACATGCAAATATAAAGCATGCATTTGCTATTTAAGTATCTAAAGGGTTTTAAATTATATTGCATTCCAAAAGTACCTTGTGCCAGGCATGGTAGTGCATGACTTTCATTTCATGAGGTTCTGGAAGCTGAGGCAGGAGGATCCCAAGTTAAAAGCCAGTCTCAGCAATTCACTGCAGCCCTAAGCAACTTAGTGAGGCCTTATCTCAAAATAAAGAGGGCTGAGGATATGGCTATGTGGTTAAGTGCCTCTGGGTTCAATCCCAAGTACATCCTCCCCCACCAGATTACTTTCATGTTACTCCTTGCATTTACTTTGTTTCCTGACTAAACCCTAGGCATTGAAAATACAAATGCAGAAGAATTTAAAACAATGAATACCCAAAAGAGAGAATGACTTTTTATAAGCTGTCAAATTTGCCAATTTGTTATTATCAAAATTTGCTAATCTCCATTACTTCTTTTAATTTTCCCTTTTGAAAAACTAAAACAAGGTATTTACTACT